AAATAGGGCATTAACTAGAGAAAACTGTTTAGTCAAGAGAGGCTTTTTAAAGATAGAGATCAAACTCCCAACCTCAGATGATCCACCTGTCTTGGGCTCCCAAAGTGCTGGGATTACAGGTGTGAGCCAAAGCCTGGACAATGTGGTGAAATCCTGTCTCTACTAAAAATATAAAAATTAGTAGCCGGGGTGGTGGTAGAGGGGCAGTGTTGCACACCTGTAATCCTAGCTACTTGGGAGACTGAGGCAGAAGAATTGCTTGGACCAGGGCAGCAGAGGTTGCAGTGAGCTGATATTGCGCCATTGCACTCCTGTCTGGGTGACAGTGAGACTCCATCTTAAAAAAAAACAAGGTGTATATAAAATACCTGATGTGATGAGAAATGCTAAAGAGAAAAATTAATCAAGAATGGAAATTAGGGTTGAGTTTTTATTTTCAGTTTTTAAATGGAGTAAATGTTATGTTTGAGCAAAAATATGAGGAGTAAATAATGAAATAGCTATGGGGATATCTAGGTAAAGTCATTCCAAACATGGCAAATCATGCCTACAAAGATTTTGGGGTGTTTATCTTATGTATTAGAATAATAGCAAAAAGCTAACTTTGCTGAAGTAGAATGAGTGATATTTTAGTGTACATATCAGTTATCTATTGCTACAAATATATCTTTTTTTTTTTTTTTTTTGAGACGGAGTTTCGCTTTTGTTACCCAGGCTGGAGTGCGATGGCGCGATCTCGGCTCACTGCAACCTCCGCCTCCTGGGTTCAGGCAATTCTCCTGCCTCAGCCTCCTGAGTAGCTGGGATTGCAGGCACGCGCCACCATGCCCAGCTAATTTTTTGTATATTTAGTAGAGACGGGGTTTCACCATGTTGACCAGGATGGTCTCGATCTCTTGACCTCGTGATCCACCCGCCTCGGCCTCCCAAAGTGCTGGGATTACAGGCTTGAGCCACCGCGCCCGGCCCAACTACAAATATATCTTAATAAACCACCTCAGTAGCTTAAAACAATTCAGATCTATTTAGCTCCCTAGTTCAAGGCTGATAGGTTGGGAATGACCAGGCAGTTTGTGTCCCAGCTGGGCTGACTTACATGTCTGGTGAACAATAATCAATCAATCTCCAGATTGCATTATATATTTTTCCAAACCCATAGAACGTACCAAGCCAAGAGTGAACCCTAATGTACACTATGGATTTTGGTCTAGGGAACCGGCCCCCACACCCCACCCCTGGGTACCCCGAGTTTGGTGGCAACAAAGGCATGAGAGTGCAAGTCCTGGCCTTCTGTAAAAACAGCAGAAATCACAAGGTCCGCTTGATTGTTAGCAACTGTACATGCGTCCAGGTCCTCTTCCAGCTGTGAGTAATGTAAAAAGGGAATTTTTGAGTCTGCACTGCAGTTTGTAAAGACTGAAAGAGCTGGCTAAGTTGGTCATCAGGAAGGAACTTTGTTAAAGCAGTTTCAATGTGCTGAGTGGCTTGTACCACATACGCTGAGTCAGAAACAATAGGCTGGTTAAAATCTGTTAATACTGCTGCAACAGCTTGTAATTCAACTCTTTGTACACACTGGAAATTAGTTGGAATAATTTTTTTACAAGGCCCAACATAAGCAGCTTTGCCATTATTACATTCATTAGTAAAAATACTAATGGCTCCTTTGATGGAGGCAGAGGACTAATTTTTGGAAGGGCCTAAAGAGTTAATTTTGGAAATTGAAAATTTTTTGTCTGAGGTAAGGATTGTTTAAGCTCCCAATGAACTCTGCTGGATTAATTTGCTAATTTAACAAATTCACAAAAGCCTGTTTGATTTGAGTTTTGTTCACTGGAACAATTATTTTGCTAGGATTAAACTCACATAATTTAAGAATTCTAGTTTTAGCCTGTTTAATTCATAAAACAATTTGATCTAAGTACACAGTGAGTGTTTTAACAGTATTGTGAGGTAAGAAGGACTATTCAACTAAATCCTTATCCTGAGCAATAACGCCTGTAGGCGAGTGAGAGGAGTGAACACAAGAAACTGTAAAGGCAATTTAGAGTCTATCCCAGAAACCTGAGCTTGTTGAATTGTTTCTTTTGTGGTAGCAGGAGACAATTTTCTTTTACTGTGAAAGTCAGGGTCTCCTCTAAGAATGGAGAATAAATTAGACATAGCATAAGTTGGAATTCCCAAAGTTGGTCGAATTCAATTAATATCTCCCAGCGATTTTTTGGAAATTATTTAAAGTTTTTAAAGGGTGCTTGCTCATTTGGATTTTTTAAGGTTTAATGCTTTTATTTTTCACCTGCATTCTAAGATAGTGAAAAGGAGTGGTTGTTTGAACTTCATTAGACTCTATGATAAGAACAGCGCGGCAGCCTTCTGTAGAAAAGAGTAACACTGAAGAAGTCTTTCTCGGGTTTCTGCAGCACACACTATGTCATCCACTTAGTAGATGATACAGCATTCCGGGAATTTTTTCCTGACCGGTTGAATAGCCCCTCCCACAAATGTCTGACAAATAGTGGGACTCTTCACATTCCTCGAGGCAGAACTTTCCATTGATATTTAGCAGCAGGCTCCTTGTTGTTTATAGGAGGAACCGTAAAAGCAAATTTTTTACAGTTCTTAGCGGCCAGTGGAATGGTGAAAAAGCAGTCTTTTAAATCTGTAGTAATTAAAGGCCAATCTTTGGGTATCATGGTTGGAGACAGGAGGCCTGGTAGAGGGGCTCCCGTAGGTTCAATTACGGCATTGACAGCTCTTAAGTCGGCCAACATGCGCCATCTGCAGGATTTGTCCTTTGTCACAAATACCGGAGAGTTCACGGTGAAAAGGTTTGTTCAATGTCTTTTCTCTAACTGTGCCAATACCTGCAAAGCCTCCAATTTTTCTTTTGTAGGCAGCCAGTGCTCCACCCCAACCGGACGCCGGGCTGTCCATTTTCACGGAATGGGCTGGGGAGGCTCAGCAGCGGCCGCCCCTAAAAATGACCGCCAAGCCTTTTCTGTGAAATATCTCAGATGCTGGAGTCAGCTCAAGGTTCTCCCAATCCCTTTCCGGGTTTATATCCCATGTTGATTATTACTTTCTTCCCACAGGGGCCTTTCCTTTTGGCCATTGTTTGGGCCACTGATTTAAGGCAGTTATTGAAACATTAGCTCCAGCTTCTACTAAACCTTCAAATCGTCTTCCCTGAATAGTTACAGTACAAATGGGCCTATTTTCAGGTACTTGATTTACCCAATAAACAGCATTTCTTGATAAATTTGTGCTTCTAAATCCTCCCGTTCTCTCCACTGAACTGTCTTCGGTTTAATACACGGTAAAAGCAGACGCTGGGCTATTCTGTCTCCTGGGTTAGCACTCCAAGGTGTGGTACAGCTAACAGCCAAGTGGATTTCTCCTGTGTGATCAGAGTCAACAACTCCGCTATGACTCTAAACACCTTTTAGATTTAACTTATCTTCCCAAAACTAACCCCAAAGGCCCTTGCACCCCTGTTGGCACTTTTATAGGTGGCTCTCCAGGTAGCAAAGAAATAGGTGTAGTACAACATAAATCTACTCTGCGCTTCCTGAGGTGGCGGGGGGACAACAACTGTTGTACCCTTGTGGCTGGTTTGGCATCTGACAAGGTTGGAAAGACCTCTTCCTATCAAATTACTAAAAAATCGTTAAGGAAGCTATTGGCCAGTATAGATCAAATTCTCCTTTGTTCATGCATTATTACAGACTGTGGCTTGTGACAAACGTTTTTGCCTGTATGACTGGGAAGCACTGGCAATTAAAACAATTGTCTTAATGGTTTTAATTGCCAGATTTTACTTTGAGTAAGATGGGGTACCAGAGAAGTGTTCTGAACCAGACAGTGAATGATTGTGAACGACTGAGCTACTATTTAATACGAGCTCTCCATCTGCTGAATGTGGAATAAGTCATGAGGCAGACTACAGGGAGACCAGCTAAAAGGCTTCTGTGATCGCCCAAGTCAGAGGTGATGGTGGCTTAGCAGTGTCAGTACTGAAGGTGGTGAGAAGTCATCAGATTCTGGATATATTTTTTGAATTTATGGGAATAATTTTTTTAATGTACAATATTTCTCACTGTCAGTAAGTCCTATGAAAAAGAGTTAGGCATGAAGTGTGAACAGGAATAGTACCGGAACTTAGGTTCGGCGATTTTTAAGAAGATGGCCACGGAAGACCTTTCTGAATTTCGGGAGAGAAAAGTTCCCCAGATACTTGTATGGCTGCCTCCCCAGCCTCCTGCAGAGCATCTGACTCTATTAAACAACCCCCAGGGAATGACCTTTACAGGCAGGTCTGACTGAAGTGAGGAAGCAAGCCATGTGCATTTCTGGAGAAATCACACTCCACAGGGTAGGAGCAAGCCTGGTAGGTTCAAAGAACTGTAAGGAGTCTATGGAGACGTGAGACTGTGGGTCAGAGGGGCTCAGGGCAGTGACGAGGGGCAGAGAGTGGGGGGCTGCAGAATAGACACAGTGAGATTGAGGGACACAGACTGGACTATGGAGAGGAAGACTGAAACAGAGATGGGGGCTGAGGACAGAGGGATAGACTGGGTGTGGGAACCGCTGGGTACTGAAGACACGTGGAGGGGCAGAAAGAAAAGACACACTGAGTGGGCAACTGGGGTTCCAGAGGGGTACCGAGGTGGGGAGAGACAGAGGCCGAAGGAGAGTCAGGCAGCAAAGGGGAGTCTGAGTAAAGACGGGTGGACTGAAGGGTGGAGAGGGGAGGAGATGGGGAGGGCTACTGAGAGCTGAGGAGGAACAGACAGCAGAGAAGAAACTGGGATTTCCAGTGCCGTCAGCAGCCTCTGTACCGACTCTGGCGTCCCTGCCCCGCTTTAGCAGTTCCTACAGACGCTTGACCTGCCAGGAAACGCATCTGGAGAGAAACCTGAGCCTCTGCTGAAAATGATAAATTTAAAGCCCAGCCACCGAGGATGAGATAAAGGTCATCCTGGGGGAGAACAGGATCCTGAACAGCATGGCCATCTGGTTTGTCCCGTGGCTGGGCTCTTTGCTCCTGGTTTCCCTCTGGGGACCCTCGGCTCCAGGTAAGAGGAGACTCAGGGTCAAGCAGGGCATCCTAAGGGCACCAGGCTGACTTCTTCCCCTCCATGTCCCACAGCCTCCCTTCTCAGACGCCTGGGTGAGCACATTCAGCAGTTTCAGGAGAGCTCTGCCCTGGGCCTGGGCCTGGGGCTGGGTGCTGGGGCCCTCCCAAAAGTGGGGTGGCTGGAGCAGCTTCTGAATCCCTTCAACGTGTCCGACAGACGATCCTTCCTGCAGGTGAGGCCAAAAGACGGGGAGTCCACTGCCCACCCGGCCCTCCCTCAGTCTCCCTCCTCTCCTCCTCAGTCTGGACCTGTTTTCTCTCTCCACACCCCTGTGCTCCCATCCCTGTCTCCCTCCTCTCTTCCTCAGTCTGGACCTGTTTTCTCTGTCCACACCCCTGTGCTCCCATCCCTCAGCTTGAATCTCGTGCTGTGGCTGCTGTCAGAATTCCCTTTCCTGCCCTGTTCTTCTGTTTTGGACTTAGTCTCCCTTCTTCTCAGGGCCCTACTCTTTCTGTTCCTCAGCTCTTGCCCTTCATCCTTCCTTTCTTTCTCTCTGTCATTCACACTCACTCTCTCACTGCTCCTCCCTACCCGCTTCTTTCTGTCCAGAATGGACACAGAACCTACCACCAGGTAGCAGAAACTTGAACCAGCTTTGGAATCAGACCTGGCTCACAACAGGCACTCAAAGATACCTATCGCAAGAAAGAACAAATTCACCATTTTCATTGCTTACTCTGTATTTAGTGTCCAAAGATGATCCCACTTGGATCTTATTCCTAAATCCATCTACATTTATTACTTATTCGGCAACTATTACCTCAAAAAATAGCAAGTTCCTTCTATGTGAGAGCCACTCCCTCAGTTCTAGGGATAGAAGAGTCAAAAAGCCCACATGTGAACAAAGTAGTTCAGATCCATAAAATAAAAAGAAAAAAAAAAAAAAAGAGAAAAGAGTGAAGAAGCAGGCCCAAAATTTGCTTTCATAGATTTTGCATTCTAGATGAGATGAACAGGGGCCGGGCGTGGTGGCTCATGCCTGTAATCCCAGCACTTTGCGAGGCCGAAGCCGGTGGATCACCTGAGGTCAGGAGTTCGAGACCAGCCTGCAACATGGAGAAACCCCATCTCTAAAAATAAAATAAAATAAAAAATAAATAAAATAGGTGAGATGAACAGGAGAACTGAGCACATAAATCAACCAGCTCACTTCAGATACTATTAAATACATATGGAAAAAATCCATTAGGGAGACTGAAACAAACGAGGAATTGAAAAGAAGTCAGGACTCTCATGATGCCATTTTTCTTCCCCATCCCACCTCTTAGCGTTACTGGGTGAATGACCAACACTGGACTGGCCAGGATGGACCCATATTCCTGCATCTGGGGGGTGAGGGCAGCCTTGGGCCTGGCTCAGTGATGAAAGGTAAGAGGCAAGATTGGGAGAAAGAGAGTTGGGAAGCTGGTGGGGACCAGGAAGGGGAGCTGTGTATTGCAATGCTGTGAGACCGGAGGGGCGCAAGGGCTGACACTCAACTTGCATCTCACCCCCCCACACCATGCACTCTTCACAGGCCACCCTGCAGCCCTGGCCCCAGCCTGGGGTGCCCTGGTGATAAGCCTGGAACACAGATTTTATGGCCTGAGTATCCCTGCTGGAGGCCTGGACATGGCCCAGCTCCGCTTCTTGTCCAGCCGCCATGCGTGAGTGCGGGAAGGGAAAGCGGGGTGAAAGGACAGGAACGTCTGTGCTCTGCCACGTCTGCACCTGTGTCTCTGTCCTCCACTGCTGAAGTCGACCTCTGGTTCCGTGTTTTCCTCGGTCTTTCGTAGTGTCTTGTTGTTTTCCTTTCCATTGCTGGGCCTCTGTCTCTCCCTATCTGTCTTTCTCTTAGACTGTATTCTTATCTCTGCTTCTGTGTCTCTGTCTGAAGTAAGCCACTGTATCACCGTGCAGACCACCAGCATTGCCCACCTGGATTACAGAACCAGCATCCACCATTCTTCCTGCTCTGCCCTTGACTTCCAGGTGGCAATCGGAATAATTCTGTTAGAGCATAAAGCAGGTCATCATCCTCCCTGGCTCAAGTCCCTCACATGTCTCTGTATCACTCAGAGTAAAATCAAAGCTTTTACAATGGCCACGAGGTCCAGTAGGATTTGGCCCCTTGTCAGTTCTGACCTCCACTCTCTCACATTCTCTGGGCTGCAGTTACACTGAGGTCCTCACTGTCCTCCAGACTTAAAGACACATTCCTGCCTTGAGCCTCTGAACTCATCCCTCTGCATGGCGTCGCCTCCCCAGATACGTATACGGCCCCTCCCCAGCCTCCGCCAGTGCATCTCAACTCCCACCATTTTCCTCCCAACTTTACTTCACCTGCTCTGTGTTCTTTCGTCTGCTTTACTCTCACAGAACTTAGCTTTTTCTTTCCTCATTGGTGTCTCTCTCTGTAACAGTCTATTTGCCGCTGGCTCTGTATCTACATCTGTGGCTCTTTGTCTCCATCTCCCTCTCTCTGCATCTGTCTTTTCTACAAGCTAAATGGTTTTTTAACTGCAGCAGGATGGCACTGACTGCAAACCATTTCAGAAAGGTTAGGGAATTAAAAAAAGCCCTCGGGAGGAGAAAGAGGATGTTAGACATAGCCACACTTCACTCTCCATCTCTCTTTGTGTCTCTTCCCTCTTCCAATGCCTTCTAACTCTTCAGCTTAGGAGCCTCCTCCTCTGAGTAGCCTTCCTTGACTGCCCTCAACCCTTCCCTACATTTGTCAGGTTTGCATCTAAACTGACTTGGACATTTTTCGTCTCCTACCTAAAACAAGAAGGGAAAAACGGTGCAGGGTTTCTAGAAAGTGGACGAGCACAGGGTCTCCCGTGGCCTAGCACACATGTTCTGGGAAGTGCATGCGGCTTGGAGAACCCTTGGAAACACATCCTGAGAAAACAGACCTGGCTTCTGGCCAGATTTACCCACTCACATCTCTGGATTCGGGTCTCCCCCAGAGTGGGGAAATCTTCAGGGATTCCCAGCGATGAGGACCGACCGAGCCTCCCCTCTGACCCTAGGCTGGCTGATGTGGTCTCTGCCCGCCTGGCACTTTCCCGCCTCTTTAACGTCTCCTCCTCCAGCCCCTGGATCTGCTTCGGAGGCTCCTATGCCGGCTCCTTGGCCGCCTGGGCCAGGCTGAAGGTCCTGGGATTCCTCCGGGTGGGCTGGGGGGAGGGAACTCGGACTCCAGGGCCCCGGTCTCAGCTCAGAGGAATGCCCTCCCACCACGCCCCTTCCTTCCTCTCGGCCCCCAAGCATTCTGCACGAGCTGTCCCCACTAGAGCGAGCGAGTGACACAGGGGCAGCAAGACGCGGGATTCAGCCCCTCACCCGCGGCTGACGCCATCTCCCCCCTCAGTTCCCGCATCTCATTTTCGCGTCGGTCGCCTCGTCCGCCCCGGTGCGGGCCGTGCTGGATTTCTCCGAGTATAATGACGTAAGGATGTCTGGCAGCAGGTGCGGGAGGAGGGGGCCCAGTGGGGGGAGGCCGGCACGTCCCGATACCGTCCTCTGCGGTACGACCACAGGTGGTCTCCAGAAGCCTGAAGAGCGCGGCGATCGGCGGGTCCCTGGAGGTAGGAGGTGGGGCCTAGTCCGAGGGGGACTGGGAGGGAGAAGAGGCCTCGGATGCCGGGGAGGAGTGGGCCTCGAATGGGCGACGCCTGCAGCGGGGCGGGTCTAAGCAAGGTTGGAGCCGGGAAAAACTCGCAGGCTTTTGGAAGAAGGCGGAGCTGACGAAGAGGCGGGGCACCAAGAAAACAGGCGCTCCCTAGAGGGGGCGGGGCTTGTGCAGGGACCAGCCTACCCGGAGGTGAGGCTCAGAGTGGGGCGGGGCCACGGCAGAGGGCGGGACCTGCAGGGACAACCCTAGGAGGCGCCAGAAGTGGGCAGAGCCTGAGCGGAGAAGGTCGGAGTCTGGCTGCGGGGAAGTGGGGAACCCAAGGAGGACCCAGCCTGGGTCTTGGCAGACATCGCCTCTTGCTCCCCACAGTGCCAGGCGGCGGTGTCCACCGCCTTCTCGGAAGTGGAGCGGCGGCTGCGCGCGGGTGGGGCGGCTCGAGCAGCGTTGCAGGCGGAGCTGAACGCGTGCGGATCCCTGAGCCGCGCGGAAGACCAGGCGGAGCTGCTGGGGGCGCTGCAGGCTCTGGTGGGCGGTGCCGTGCAGTATGATGGGCAGGCGGGAGCGCCACTGAGCGTGCGGCAGCTCTGCGGGCTTCTCCTCGGGGGCGGGGCCAACCGCAGTCGTTCCACGCCCTACTGCGGGCTTCGGCGGGCGGTGCAGGTGAGCGCTCCCTGGCGCGGTCGGAGCCCACTTCCCTTGTGTGATCTGGGGCAAGCGAGAACCTTCTCTGAGACTTCGTTTTCTCGTTTGTAAAATGGGATGCCACCTCACAGGACCGAGGGAAGGTGAAATGAGGCGGGCTGTAGAGCCATCAGCTGGGAGCCTGGCACACCGCATGTGAATGTTAGAGACTTTTGCCTGTCTCGTCCTGTCCTGTGCATTTTGCCTGGCACATGGCAAAATGCTCAGTATTTTTAGAATGAATGAAAAAATGTATCCCTGGGGATAGGGTTCTCCTAGGTATATGAGCCTACAGCCTCTGAGTCCACAACTACAATCCGGCTGTCGCTTTTCCAGCACTGTCTGGACCAAGTGCTGAACGAAGTGCTTCACATATGTTATTTCATTATATTCTCAAGAGATAGGCACCATTATTATCCCCACTTACAGAAGAGGAAACAGGTCTGAAAGTGTATCACTTGCCCAAGGTCTCACAGGTAATAAGGTCTCAGTCTTACAGTGCCTTGATCTCTAACTCACAGGGACCCTCTGACCACTGACTCCCAAGAGAACTCGAACTCCCCCTTCTGTTTCTGACTTTTGACCTCTGGGGACACAGGCCCTGGCTTGCTGAGAGGCGAGGAGGAATTTATGTCTTATGTGTTATATCAGAGCGAACATAGAAAGTCAACACCAAGACAAAAGTATGCCAAATTGCAGAGTCTTTATTGCAGGGTCTTTATTGCCGGCGGCCACGGAGGACTCACGTCTCTCCAACCTGTGGCCCCGAAAGGAGGTTGTCAAGATCTTTTATGCCCGTAAACCACCTCCTCAGCAAGGGTGAGGGTGAGGGGCCTCGGACATTCTGATTGTTACTTCAGTGGTTCACAGAAGTCAAGGTAAGCGTTAGTTTGCACATTGCCTAGGTAGGGTGGAAATTACAGACCTTAGTTACTTACTACAAGTCACAGGGGCTAAGATGGCATGGGTTTGGACTGCTTGCCTGTCACATCAGGGTTACAGAGAGCAGTTTGAACACAAAGCTGAGGCACTGTTGAGGTATGCAGTTTTTTGGGGCTTTTACCATGTCACAATATATGCACATTGTTCCCTAGATTGTCATGCACAGCCTGGGCCAGAAGTGTTTAAGCTTTTCCCGAGCAGAGACAGTGGCACAGCTGAGGAGCACAGAACCTCAAGTGTCTGGCGTGGGTGACCGTCAGTGGTTGTACCAGACATGTACCGAGTTTGGCTTCTGTAAGTGACTGGCCTAACCCTAATTTCGTCCCCTCAAACAACCTTTTTGCTATGCCCAGAGAAGTCATCTTACAGATTGTCTGGACTCATTTTGACCCAGCTCTCAGGCATTGTGTAACCTGCAGATGTTGTGCTGGACGGGGTGGAAGCCATACCAGTGTGTGCATGTGCTTGGCCCTCACATGCCTCCTCACGCACACACTGGTCTCCACTTGAGTGACCTTCTCTTCAGTCTGTTCTTTCTCTGTGTCCTCATTCCAGGGATGGCCCCCTTTCCCCAGCCACCAGACTAGAAACTTGAACCTTGTTTCAGTTGCTGCCTTTGCATTTTGTAGCTAGCCTGTCAATTACTGAGTCCTCCGCGCTCTGCATGGACAACTCTAGTCTATCCCTTCAGCTTTCTCTGCCTACCTCCGTTGTGTCGCTAGAAACCTCCATCCTTTCTTGCTTGGATCCCTTCCCAGCCTCCTCTCTGGTCTCCAGGCCTTCACTTCATCTGTACCATCTAACTTCCTCATAGCATCCACAGAGATCTTTAAATATAACCTTGGCCCTCCTCTACTCAAAACCACAGCTCCTCAAAGACCCCAGGCTAGTGTTGCCAGATACAATACTGGATGCCCAATGGATTTTTTTTTTTTTAGTATAAGAATATCCCCAATATTACATATGGTAAAGACAAAATAAAATGTTCAAGTTCCAGCTTCATTTACTGCTCATGTGATCTTGGGCAAATGACTGACTTCTCCATGCCTGTTTCCACATCTATAAAATGGGAATACTAACAGGACTTCTCTCTTAGGGTTGTTTCAAGGACAAAAATAGGTAATATTTGTAACATTCTAAGAATAATGCAGTTCTATGGTAAGTATTTCTTAAACCCTTGCTATTATTGTTATAAAGCTTTACATATTTTAACCCTCTTAATACATGAGACTTCCTAACACCACACGAACTTTGCACATGCTGTTCACTTTGCTTGGATTATTCCTCTTCGGCTCTCAACAGTGTCAGGGAACCAGCCCAGACATAGCCTAGGGAGTAGCTGGGGTTGGTAGAGACAAAGAAATTTAGAGACAAAAGTAAGAATGCATAAAGGTGGGCTCCCAGGAGGCGCGTGTGCGTAGGGGCTGCGAAGGCCCTGAGTACTGGGGGCCCACACTATTGACTGAGTGTGTAAACCAAGAAGCTGTGCTCAGGGATGGGCATGTGAAAAGGAAGCAAAGCATCAAGCAGATGATCTACAGCTGTGGTGATCTGGCATCTCTTTGGGAGGCACAGAGCACACTCTGCTTTACACACACCGAGAAAACAGTCAGAGGAAAAAGCTGCCGCTACATTAAGCAAGTCTGGCCACATTAGAGGTCTTCTTTGCTTTGAGCACAGAGCATGGTCTTCTACTAACTCCCATCTTGTGCCAGATAAGCAGGTCATGGGTCAGCTCCTCTCTGAACAATCAGGATGCCCTCCCTCAGGAAGCCATGGTCCTTCAAGATAAGCCAGCCGTCCAGCCTCCCACTTCAGTAGATCTGTGCTCTTTAGCATTTTACACAGTCTGTCATCATACATTTTTTTATTGCCTCTCTTCCCCTCTGGACTGATCCTGTGACAGCAGAGCCTGGAGCTGTCTTGGTGTGCCCAATATTGTACAGCATTTATCTGAGCACATGGTAGGTGGTCAGCAAATAAGGAGGGAAGGAATGAATTAATCTGATGTTATGAAAGTTAGATTTACCCTGAAAACACACTGAACTATGGGTTTTAAGCAGGGAAGACGTGACACAATTTGAGCTTTGAGCACTCCAGAGCTTTGCACATGCTATTTCCTCTCTTTACTATGCCTCCTCTTCTCTGTCTTTGTTTGGCTCAGTCCTGCTAACTTCTCAAGTTCTTATCCTTTGCAGGATGCTCTCCCTGAGCCCATCAGGTTTCCTCTGGGCTCTCTGCTTTCTGGCCTTTTTCCTTCACAGCCCTGATCACTCTGGGCTGTCCCTATCAGGGGATCTGTGAGAGTCTCTCTGCTAGGATCATGAGCTCCTAGAAGGGAGAACTGGAAATGTGTTGGTCATCACTAAGGAAAACTCCGAAAATGATTATTAAAGGAGAGTGGTGGGCTGGCTGTATACCCACACTTACAGGTATCTCCCGACACAGATGTCACCTGTGAGAATCCCAGATGTCCTTTCTCCCAGCTCCCAGCACTGCCCTCCCAGCTAGACCTGTGTGAGCAGGTGTTCGGGCTCTCACCCTTGTCAGTAGCCCAGGCTGTGGCTCAGACGAACTCCTACTATGGTGGCCAGACTCCGGGGGCTAACCAAGTGCTGTTTGTTAACGGTGAGCATGCTGTCAAAACCTATGTATGTAGCCCCAGCTCAGCATAGCCTCATCCTCTCCCAGCCCCCATCTACCTAGCCCCATCCTTTTCTTTCTTTCCAGGGGACACAGACCCTTGGCATGTGCTAAGTGTAACACAGGCTTTAGGATCTTCAGAATCAGTTCTTCTTATCCCTTCTGGCTCCCACTGCTTGGACATGGCACCTGAGAGGCCCTCAGACTCCCCCAGCCTCCGCCTAGGGCGCCAGGTAAGAGGGAAAAGGCTCTGAATAATTTGCATTCTTATTTGAATAAACATTTGCATGTTCCTTTTTTTCTACTGGTGCTGAGATCTGACTTTTCAAAACTCTTCCCACCTCCCCACAGAGTATCTTCCAGCAGCTACAGACCTGGCTGAAGCTGGCAAAGGAAAGCCAGGTTAAGGGTGAGGTCTGAATCTCATACCCTTTCCACTCCCTGCATGGCCATCTCAGTCCTGGACATACTCATTCACTGAACAAAAGAGAGCAGCTTGTTTTGAAAGAAGAAACTCCCAGGAACTGGGATTCAGCACATGTTCCACGTGTAACTGGCATGTGTCGGCAAACATCTTTATTCCCAACTTAAAGTGCTTTGTTGCAGAAAGTTATGGAATTATGTCGGAAGAGATGGCCAGGGGCAGACCTGTGTTACTTATAGTTAAATGGTTACGAGCTTGCTTTGCCTTTTATGCACTGAGATTTGTGCCACGGATCGTATCCAAACTATGGTGCAGTAAAACAAAAGCAGAGATTACGCAGTAACGGGAGGCCTCTGGTGAAGACCATCTGAGAGCACCCTGCAGCCGTGTAACACTCGGTGTGGCTGCAGAGCAGAAAAGAAAAACTGCTGCTTCCCAACACAGAGTTCGTGTAAGGATCTTGTAAAGGGAGCTTATGCAAAAGACTCTTGGAAGGAAATGCAACATCTGCTCTTAAGACTCGGGAGGGTCTTAGATGGGTGCTAGTAAGGCTGGAAAGCCTTGCAGGGCAGAGACACCGGAACGCCACAGGCTCTGCCTGTGTTCTCAGAATGTGGAGCAGTTTTGCTTGCTCTCGGTGCACAATGCTCGCGAGATAAAAGCCCCTTGATGCATTGTGTGTGGTCAGACGTCTGGGCACCTCGTCCACTGCACCTCTCTTGCCAAAACACCCGGATAGGCAATGGATGGTAAAACCTCAGTGTCCTTAGCATTTCTTAGGAGAACCGCTTTGAATTGAATGGTGCAGACACAGGCTCTTCCTCTGGCTATCTCCCTGCTCAACACCCCTCCCCACAGCATGCAAGATTAACAAAATAATTTACCATAATAAAAGCGCTTGGAGCCCAAAACTCGGAGCAGAGGCCAATCACCCCATGAGCGTGCCTTGGACCCCTGGACCCATGCTTTAAAATGCTAGTCTTGTGTCTTTGTCTTTATTTCTTTTCTCATCCCTCGTCACTGCCAGGACACAGGGCACCCACGCACAAGTTTGGGCTGGTTCACAACAGAATTATAAGTGGATGATTATTCTCACTGTAAATAAATATTGGTGTTTTGAATGTTAAATATCAAAGAAATGTGACAGGATGCCCTCCCTCCTGTTACATTTCTTTGATGCCCTCCCGCTGCTGATCAGATTCTTGTTCAAATTCTGCCACTCCTCCTCCTGGGTTAGGTGCTATGCTCTAAGGTTCTGTTTCTGGACTTAAGACCCTGGTCCTGTCCCTGCTTCTCAGTTTCTCTCACTGTACCCCTTTCTCTCCATCCATTTCTTCCTTTCTCTTTCCCTGTCACCATCTGTCTTTCTAATCTTGTTTCTCCGAACATCTTCATTTCTATCTCTGTGTTTTAGTCTGTTTCTCTGTTTATCTTTCTGCCCTACAATCTGTGTTTGTTCTCTGGCTCTCCGGCAGTGCTTTTGTCTCTCCTCTCTCTTGCTCTGCCGGGCTGTTTCCACTGCTATATTTCTGACTCACTTTTGGTCTCTGTGTTTCTCCTAGTCACTTTCTCACTCTTTCTGTGTCTCTCTTTTCCTCTCTCCTCTGCTGTCTCCTCAATCTGTCTGTCTCTCTGAGACTCTGTTTCTGTCTTTGACACTCAGAGAATTCTCTGTCTCTATTTTTCTTCCTGTTACTTAATCTTTATCCTTCTCTATCTCTTTCCACACCCTTCACTCACCATCTCTTCCCACATTCAAATATCACTCCCTGGTACTTCCAGCTTCCAACCCTAGGAGTTCATGGTTCTGGTGGAGACTCCTTCTTTCAGGGCCAGGGAGGATAGGGCTAATTGCAAGGGTGCCTGCTTAGGCTGTGTTAGCCGTGACAAGAAACTGCCATAGATTTGCACCGTTCTTTCCTAACACTCAGTGGTTTTCAGCAATGAATATGTCTCAGCATTTTGTACATCTTCGTATGCACAGAAATGGTAGTAGCAGAGTTTCATCCAGTTTCATAGCTCCTTCTTGGTAAGAGGCAACCTCCTCACGCTATCATACCAGAGTGAATCTCCGCTATAGTTCTGCCTGCCCTTGATCTTTATATAAATGGAAACATACAGTACATACTTTGTGTCTGGAAGTTTGAAATCAAGGTGTCAGCAGAGCCATTCTCTTTCTCACAGCGCTGGGAGAGAATCCTTCCCTGCCTCTTCCAGCGTCTGCGGTTTGTCCCTTGGCCTGTGGATGTGTCACTCCAGTCACATGGCTGTGCTCCCTGTGTGCCTTCACATCACCTTCCTTCTGCACCTGCCTGTCCTTGTGTGCAAATTTCCCCTTTTATAAGCGTACCAGCTATCCTGGGCTACAGCCCAGCCTATTGGCCTCATTTTAATTTGGTTTTCTCTATGAACACCCTATTTCCATACATGGTCACAAGTTGCGGAACTGGGGGTGAGGAGTTCAACATATCTTTTTTGGGGATGAGATGGGACACAGGTGAATCCATAGCACCCCCAAATGATAACAAGTGAAGGCCGTTTATTCAGAACTTGTACCAGGAGAGTCCAACATCATCGCTTGTGTTTGGCAGCGACACAGCAGGCAGAGGAGGGGGAAAGTGGGATAGTGGAAGAAGAAGGTTCTAGGTATGGCTTAACTGGAGGCTGTGGCTTGGGGAAGCTGTGGGCAGGCTAACTAGATGAGAGGCATCAGATGTGATTGGTTGGGAGTGTATGTGTGGCTTTTCCTCATTGGCCCTAAGATGAAAGCAAGGGCAAAAATTGGAATTGTGAGCTATTACAGTTAGTAAGTGCTGGCCATTTGGAGCCAATCAATATCTAGGGGTATTATTATTTGTCTTCCCTTACTGTTTGCCACAGATAGTAGCTTGACTTCCTGGACTGGTTACTGTAAATAGTAGGCTGGCTTTCTGGGCTGGTTACTGCAGGTTTTAGGTCAGAGGTCTATTTCTACTTTTAGTTTGGTCATTATCCATTTGCATGTTCAGTCTCTTGCATCTAATGTGACTGGACATTGCTCTCTAAGTCCAGGGAGTTTACAAGTCTACTGTGCATTCAGCCAGGGACAGTACCCTTTCTGGGCTTTACTGAGCCAACTTCTGGATCCTGGGTGCATGCGTAGTCTTCCAGACCTCCAGAGATGAGTGGGTGGTCTGGAAGGCTGTGCACAGCACAAGGGTGGGGTGCTCTTTGGGTGTCCCTAGATGTCCTTTTAAATTTTCTGATAGATTTTTTTTTTTTTAATATGGAGTCTCGCTCTGTCACCCAGGTTGGAGTGCAACAGAGCAATCTTGGCTCACTGCAACCTCTGCCTCCTGGTTCAAGTGATTCTCCTGCCTCAGCCTCCCGAGTAGCTGAGACTACAGGCATGTACCACCACACATGGCTAATTTTTGTATTTTTAGTAGAGACAGGGTTTCACTGTGTTAGCCAAGATGAAATTTCTGGTAGATTTCTAAATTAAATATATTAATTTGTATGCTTCTGTTAGTATCCTTGAAATGTCAGCCTTCCCTGATTCCTCTTCACTGTGACCTCTATTGTTTTCAGTATTGCCCTTGGGCTGGATTTTTCCTTTTCCTACTCCAAATAAAGTCAGCCGCTTCAGGCAGGGGCCTTGAACGGCCAGTCATCAAGGTTTGCCATGCCTGCTAGGACAGAGCCTCCTTAGCACAGAGTTGGAGCTTCAGGGAAGTGGGAAGAGGAGCCAGCAGTCCTTCGCGTGCCCATGGCGCCCTCTTGGAGTGGGGCTGCCTTGCCAAGGAGGAGGAGTGGGCTTCACGGGGGCTTCACAGGAGCGACGGGAGTCCCCGGTCCTCGCAGGCTGCCCCTCATGTGCAGGATGAGACTTCTACTGAAGCGGAAGTTTCGCCCAGGATTTTGTTAGCACATAGTCCGCAACTTCCCTGTTTTAACACTGCCCGTTTTTCTGCTAATAACGGCCTTTCTGCTTCTGTACCTCAGCTTACTGCTCACCAGCCAGAAACCTTCAGGGAAAGTGCGCGCCGTATGCACCTGCCGCGCTGTGTAAAGCCCTGAGCTCCTTCCCGCCCCTGCCCCTGTGAAAACGGGGACTTTCCCCGCCGGGGTCCGGACTTCCCGGCGAAGTCAAGAGCCGCCTCCGCCTCCGTCCCTGGGGTCAGGAAGGACGCGCAGCTCGCCCGAGCCCCACCGGGAACCGGGCCGGCCCGCCCCGCAGGCTGCTCCAGGGCCTCCTTCCCCGGAAGGGGAACCCCTGCTGCTCCGGCGTTGCTGCTGGCCGGACGCGCGGGGGAGACGGACTGAACTGGGGGAACTCCGGCTGAGGTAAGGCCCCGGGATCCACTCTAGGCAGGCCCGTCTGCGGACGCAAGGGGAGCCCGGTCACCTCCCGGGATCTCCGTGTGGAGGCAGCAGGTGGATTTAGTCAGGCCCGTCTGCGGACGCAAGGGGAGCCCGGTCACCTCCCGGGGTCTCCGTGTGGAGACAGCAGGTGGATTTAGTCAGGCCCGTCTGCGGACGCAAGGGGAGCCCGGTCACCTCCCGGGGTCTCCGTGTGGAGGCAGCAGCTGGATTTAGTCAGGCCCGTCTGCGGACGGAAGGGGAGCCCGGTCACCTCCTGGGGTCTCCATTTGCAGACGGCAGGTGGCCTTCTCGGGTTAGGGCGGGAACGTGATAACCTCAGTGGGCGTGTGAGTGCGTGGGGAGCTCAAGAGCCTGCTCTGAACTCCAATCTGCAGCTCCAGGGTGCAAACTACGGAGCTCCACAGGGCCCGAGCCTGCGTTTCCGTGGCGAACCGCGTATGGCTCATGGCGGCATCGAGCTGAGCACGAGCTGAGCTCCATCCGAGTCGGGGATTACACCGACCCCCTGACTGCTAAGAGGCGCCTAAGTTCCCTCAAGGGGCGCGGCCAGGTGGCCATCTGAGTGTCCTTCACGGGACACCCTCCTTTGTCTTGCGTCACCGTTCAAAAGGGGCCACACATCACGGGGAAGAGTCAGTCCACGCCCACCGTCCTAGACTGTACGGTCAAAAGCTTCAGGAAGGGCTCTTCTTCTGCAGATCACGGGGCTAAAATGGCCCCAGGACAGCTAAAAACCCTCTGCAGATCAGAGCGGCCGGCGCTTAGCGTCGGCTGGCCACCAGAGGGCACCCTGGAGGTCTCCACGGTGCAGGCCGCTTGGAAGGCTGTGGCCGCAACCCCGGCCACCAGGACCAGTTCCCATCTGTTGATTCCTGGTTGGAAGCAGCTCAGACCCTCCCCCTTGGGTTCAGTTCTGCGCTGGCCGGAAGTGAAAGTGCCGGGTCCTCGTGGTCCAAGCAACCCATTCATCAGGACCCGGAGAAGGAGCTGCCACTGCCTTAGGTCCTTCGGGCACCATCAGCCCCCAGCCCACCAGCCTGGCCCGACACCCCCATATGAAAGGGGGAGATCTGAGCACCCTCCCTTGTAGCTAGATCAGGGTGCATGCTGCAGAGGTGGGACACTGGAAGAACGAGTGCCTCTAGTGGACGGTCCCAGATGGGGCACCCCCCACCCCCCGCCCCGAGGGAGGGCAGAATACCAGCCAGAGCCTAGCCAGGCCCACCTGATCGGCCTGGCATGGACCTAGACTGGGACGGGCCAGGCTCTGTGAACCTTGGCTCCGGGAGCCCATGGCCGAGATGAAGGTCGAAGGCCACCCAATGACTTTTATGGTAGACCCCGGAGTGGAGTACTCGGTGGTCACCACTCTGGTTGCCCCGTTTAGCAACTGGAAGGCAACTGCTTTGGGAACAACAGATGACCAGGTATAGCCCCGGCCGTTCTGCCAAGGTCGGATATGCCAATTAGGGGGGCACCAGGTATGCCATGAATTCCTCTACCTACTGGACTGTCCTGTCCCCCTTCTGGGAAGAGACTTGTTAGGCAAACTGGGGGCGCAAATCACCTTTGAACCTCAGGGGACCAGCCAGTCTAACTTTGAGTGAGCCAAA